TTCAAATAGTCATCAATGGGTTCAGTGAACTTTCTCTTAACACTGGCCAATTCCTTCAGACTTATTTTCGATTGTCCCATGTAACATTGTTCATGGAATAATCTCTCTAAAAGGGTCCAAGTGTCAACAGACCCAGGAGGCAACGTGGTAAACCAAGTGAAGGCATTTTTTGTCAAGGAACTTGGGAAATATTTGATTCTGAGATCTTCATTATTGGCTATATCCCCCGCTTCGGTTAAATATCTCGCTATGTGTTCGACTGTTGACTCGTTGGTATCCCCAGCGAACTTTGTAAATTTAGGGACTTTGTATCCCCTTGGTAAATCAGTATGCATTATACAATCTAATATAGGAGAAGCGTAATTTGGCCTCCTCATTCCCATATTGAGGCCGTTTTGGGTCATGATCCTCTCTATCATGGTGGTCAGATTATTTTCTGCCAAGATGTTATCGTTTCGAATCCTATGAACGACAGCATCGGCATCTTGGTTTCGACCAACCAAAACAACTCCCCTAGGTTGTTCTCCTCGAAATTCTGGGGCTTCTGGTCTTTCGATCCTTGCCCCTGGTTCCATAACTTCCCTTTGTGGGCCCGGAATTATTGGGGCTTCTAACCTTGGTGCTCTGGCCCCTAAGTTAACCTCTTCTCTGGGTGGTCTATGAATTGGGTCGTTGGCAATTTCTTCTATAACAGGCACGTTTGTTCGAAATCCCGCCTGGTTCTGCCTACGCCTTTCTGTGGGAGCAAAGAAATCTGCTATTCGACTCATATTGTCAGCGTTTTCCCTGTTCGTCACAGTCACATTCTGAACTATTGGGGCGAATATTTCCTGCATGGTTTGCGCTAACACCCCTATCATATTGTGGTTGCTGTCATCCATCAATTGCCTAAAAGCCAACTGGTTATCTGTGGTTAGGATAGGCAACGTGCTATAACCCACTGACCCTTGGTTATTTGACATAAATTGGTTTGCCCCAGACCCAGATCCTAGTTGTGGGGATGAATTCGATGTGGAATTGTGTAAACCTACCATAAAAGATGTCGGCATTCCGTAAGAAGAACTTCTAATTCTATTCCCATCGAAGCCGGGTGGTCTAGTTGATGGAGTGGCGAAATGGGATTGTGTCCCAGGTGGCGGAACGAATCCCCCAGGGTAGCCCATAGTTCCAGTATTTCCTAAGATCGAACTGTTGGTTGATATGCCACTTACTCCGTTGGTGGCCATGTTACTGGTTGAAGATGCAACAGCCTGTGCATTCGAAGGGATTACATTAGATGCTCCGCTCGAAATGGACGCGTTAGTGCCTGTTGCCTGTGGGCCACCTTGGTCTCCCTGTTGATTGTCTGAATTAGACATTTTGTCCAAACGTTTTCTTCTGGATAAAGGTTGGTTGCTGTTGGTTATCTTACCACTTCTCAGGTTCATAAAACAGCAAACTTCTTAGGTTCCTACGTTTCTGGGATGGCTATGTCTCGACAATCCTTAATTCTGATATCCAACTATTGGTCCCACCGGGTGTGCCAATTTGTTTCCAGTGATTTCTGGTAAACAACCGCTAGTCTTCCAAACTATCGAATAATCTTTATTAACGCTACTCAATCTCTTTGGTAACTCACAGGATCGACTAGATTGATCCTAGGACTCCTTGGATATTAAGGTTACTCTCACAATCGAACAATTATTCATGGGTGCTATTGTACAAATGTTTGGTTTATTTCGATCCCTCTCTCTAAGAGTTTAAAAATGTGGTCAAAATGTATGTGAAAACTAAGTTATACGAATAATTGCTAATTGCAATGCTGATTGAAAAGACATATAAAACTGTATGGAAAATGAAGTAACTGGTTTCGACCCATAAAACATTTAATACAAAAGGTTTCTGGAATGTGGAAGTTTGAAATGTGAAGAAAGCGTTTAATGCAAGAAATCTAGAAATGACTTTAAGTGAAAGTACATGTTTGAAGAATAATACTTGAAAGTAAAGGTATTGAGAGCGTAAAAGTTCTCTGAAATATAGAGTGCTCGAAATATAAAGAAAGCAGTAAAATGTAAAACTTTGAAGAAAAGACTTTGAAATGAAAAGACAGTAGATAAAGAAACTTGCAAATGTTATTCGACAGAAAGAAAAAGAAGGAAAGTGGTTGAAATAGTAAAAAGGCTTTTATTAAATTAGAAATACATGGTGCTATCATACATACATTTCTCTTGCATTCGTTTCCCTTGCCATGTGGTAGTTTGAATGTTATTGAGTATTTTGTATAACAGATATGACACACTGAAATCCTAACACTAAGACTTCTATTTATACTAACTCGACCCTAACGGTCTCGCTACAAGATCATGCCACGTTTCGAACATGCAAGACAATGCTCCTTTCATCTTTCCACGTGTCCCCAAATGCTCCAACACATAACTTTCAAACTTTGAAAGTCCCGCTTTCATTTAAATTTTAAATGCTTTGGTGTTTCTCTGTTTCGAACGCTCTTCTCAGACCTAGCTTCGCTGCTGTTTCGAGACCCCTTTGGATACGCTCCCATGATCACCGTTCGAAGCTTCAAGCTTTGACACACTCATTCGAAACACTGCTTCTGCAATTTCGAAGCGTGGTGTTTTAATTCCATTTCGATCAGAACTTCTAGCTCTTTTTGAATTCTAAATAACACTATCAAAATCTTCAGCCAACACACCCCTAACCCTATATAGCATAAATAGCATAATCATAGTAAAATAACATGCATCTCAAAGAGGGCGTCACATATTAAACTCATAAAATATCCAAGAAATTCAAACATGTATATTGGTCATGATCATAACACGTATTCAAACTTCATGTTTTCAAAATCATGAACATCACAACGGAATAATTCTTTACTCAAATAATAATAATGATTATATCCCATACTATAATCATAAGTCCTCATAACAAGTCATGGATCTCAAATCCTTAGGCACTAAGGCCACTCAACATAAACTCTCAACATATAATTCAAATAAGAGAAATAGTAATATCTTTTCAATTAAACATGAGTTTGAAACCTTCCCCGTGTTACATAGAGCAGAGCAATGATTCACTACCTAGGGATAAATATATAAATAAGGATCTAGCTCTTCTGACTAATCCTGGTAAGTATCACCACTATCCTCGATACATGCGCGATATCGCATAGAACATCATTACAACAGAAGGGTGAGAATTCACATCATTATGAATATATAATATAAACAATGTATATAACACACATACATTCCAAGAATTCATTACACTTCATATAATTATCTATACAACATGGATTCACCAATACAAGTACCAAGATAATTATATCCAAGTAGAACAATTCAGACAATCATCACATATATTGCAATGATCACCAAAGTCACGGTTGAACCAATTATCATACACATCACACATTGAAAGCAAAACCTCACATAACAACAAATGTGACTACAATGCAACTCAATGCGACTCATGCATGTGGTACCATCATGAACATCAAGTTCACCTCGCTCCCGATTCAATATTTAGAACCATAGTGATGCTTCCGATCCAGACAAGACCAAAGCCCGCCAATATGAACATATAGTTCACCGCTTCTATTTCCATACAAGGATCAAAGCAACCAACCAGAGTTTAATCTCCCCATGTATGCATGTGCAAAAATAACCAATTATATGCAAATTAAGATTATCACGGAACCTTGATCATACCATATATCACAATAATCCATCAAAATGAATTATCCCACCATTACACAAAACATACATTTATCACGCTGTCATTACCAACAATACAATTATTTAGCATTCATCAATCACACATATCACGAATAGAAAACAATGCCAAAACATGTTATTCTCATTCAACATCAATTCACAACATACACATACACAAAGTCAAGTATCATATTCATAACATTCTCAATTCAGCACATCACAATAACATATAACAAACAATGCCAAAACATATTATTTCCATTCATCATCCATTCTTGACACATAACTCCAAACTATTATTCCAATCAACCAATTCCAATAAACCTAGTTCTATCTTATAGTTTATTGCATTAACTTTCTAACGATTCAAACAACGCCTAAAACGGATTTACGGCTCAAAAGTTATGACCGTTACAAAATCTGCCAGAAAACTTGTTGTATGAGTCGACGTAAAACCCTGTATGAGTCGAAGCAAAAGAACTATGAGTCGGTGCAAAACTGCGTGACAACACTTCCTTACCTGGCGGGTTGTCTCGCGCCGACCCCCCTTTCAGTTTGAGTCGACTCAAACTTCTAAAATATGGTTTTTTCTACATTTTAACTTAATTTCCACACGATTTTTCTTATAAAAAATACTATCCATCACTACAAAACGTCATGTTTGCCAATTTTATCAATAATCCATCATCCTAACATGAAGGTACTCATTCTATTCCATTCAACACATCAATTTCTATCAAATCCATAGATTTCTACACAAACCCTAACATGTGAGAGTTTAGATCTAGAAATTAAAAATCAAATCACACCTAACATATTACTATCCATTGCATACCATACACACCCTTAATAATAAGGATTATCCCCCTTACCTCTTGAAGACTCAAACTCTAGATTTCTTTTTCTTCCTTCCTCTTTCTCCTCTTCTCTTCTTTTCTCTTCTTTTGTGTTATGACATAACAACTCTAATCTCTCTTGTTACTACCCTATTCTTTAATGGGCCTAATTCCATTCTTCACATTCCTATCATAATATAAGCCCAACTCTTAATTATTTCTATTCTCACTCATAAACAAAAATATTCAAATAACACATATATTCAAATATTTCAAATAGTCACCAAAACACATAATTTAATTAATTATCATATAATATAATAATTAATAAAATAATTAAATAATACTAAATAAAAATTTGGATGCTACAAAGTATGTACCATTTAGATATAAATCTCCCTCTAAACTCCAATTCCAACCTTTCCATTGGCTTTCATATGTTTCCACTCTCTTAGTTACCTGCAAATATACATCAGTATGATTCAATCAATAACCAAAATTCAAAATTCACAGTGAAATTAATTTTGAACACATTTGAATTAATTGACTATTAAGTTATCTCTTTGGCAAAAGGGTTAACAAGAGCATTGTATCTGTTACACTAACTGTTGATTGTAGGCTCAACACTTCTGTCAATTGCACACATTTCCCAGTGAGTATAATCATTGTTCACCATATGGAAATAACCATGTCTACACCTACATTTTTCATGACCAATAAATTGTTAGAGTATAGAAAGATAGAAATTTAAAGCAGCTCAAGGAACAATAAATCACAAATTCTATTGTATTCATCTCAACACAACAAAAATAGTCTCAATAAAAAACAAACAAACAAATCGATTTCAAAAATTTCTAAAAGATAAAATAAAAATCAGATGGGTGACCGGAAATGATTATGGTGGTGACTGTAATGGAAACGAATGCAGAAGTTTTCGGTGATGACATCTGAGTTATGAAGGGAAGTCTTGTCTGAGCAGATTCAGAGGTGGTTTGCAACAGCTATACTTTCAGAGTTGGTGGTTGAATCAGTGCAGTTTCGTGTTTTCACGTGGTGGTTTGTGTCTCATCCTTCACCTTTTTTGATTAGCCATGAGTTATGGTTTCACTGAACTTCAAAATCTAAAATGAAATAACATAATCAATGGATTTAGCAAATAACAAATTTGTAAAACCATTCAATAACAAAAAATAGGTTAAGATAAAAAAAATCAAAGGGACTCACCGGTGGTGTAGAGCCACAACGACGAAAGAGGGAACATATCCGGTGGTGGTGGTGGTGGAAACAGAATAGGGACTCCCTATTTTTTCCCGATGATTCTGTAACTGTAGGTTCAGATCAGATATAGAGGGGATATGAGGATCTTCTTTCCGTGTGATTTTTCAATTCTAAAGGATATTGAAATTTGGAGAGAGAAGAATTTGAATGATAGATAGAGAGGAATCAGTTTTAAAGAGATGGATTTATCACTCAAACTCACGATGTGTCCTTTCACTTAATCATTAATTAGAGATTAAAATAAATAAAAAAAGACTAAGAAAAAAATGGTAGTGACATGTGAGACTCATTAAATACTAAATGAATGAGAGTGAAACAATGGTATAATAAATCATATATAACTTTGAAATTAGAAAAAATTGGTCATTTTAATATATTTTGAGAGTTTTAAATAATTCACCTTTTAAAATCGGAAGGATTCATTAAGAAGATTTTAAGACGGTGTAAAAAAATTTTAGACTATCATTTAATAGGAATATTATATAACATTGTCATTTAATGAAAATATAACATTCTATCATGTTATATAAATTATTTAAATTTTTTAATATGATTTAAAAAATTACATAATCGTTATCAATATTGATTGATAGTATAAAAATATTTTAATAAATAGATAATGGAAAAATTGATTTAAAAAAATGAGTGGATTGAAAATTTCAATTTATCTTTGACGCGAATGGTAAAGCACCAAACTCAATCGCTGTCTACTTGCGTTTGCTTCCCTAAATCTAATTGAATTGAAAGTGAGTGTTACTGAATTTTAAGGCAGGTGAGTATTATCTATCTATTTAATCTGGTTACCCCAATATAGATAATAGATTTCGTATATTATGAACAATAATGTCTAATCTGAGGTTAATTACCTTTCCTGCATAATAAGCTCATTTTATTATACAACTTTATTTTTCTTTATTTTAGTTCATTTCATGCACAGTCGATGCATTGTAAAAATTTAACTGAATAATTCATATTTAAAGACTAATTTTAACTTTATCTTTTTTAATTAAAATTTGGAAGTTAAAGTGTTCTAAGAAAAACAAAACACAAACTTAGATTACTATAGGCTATATCTGCCAACTAGTCATCTGGTCCCATGTTTCTAACATTCTGTGGTTAACTTTGTTTGCAATATAGGATATGTTTCATTTGGCGCTGTTCAGTTCCTTATTTGAGTACTGTCTCTAAATCTTGTTTTCTATTTTTTTAAAAATCAAAATAATGTTATCCCTTCTAAAATTTATATCAAAATCATTATGTCAATATCAATTGGAATGCAAAATATTATTTCAGGCTGAAATCTATGTAAAAAATATCTGAAAGAAACTGTTTTGTTTTACATATGAACACAGGCATTGATTTATATATTTCAAACCAAAATCTTTCCCATTTCAATTCCATTGTGGATAATCACTGTGTGATTGAGAAACAAAAATAACTAATAATTGTGGTATGTGCCTATAACAAAAATTGAAATATGTAAACATGTGGTTAAGAAAATTGATAGAGACACCTATCTTTTGAATGGCTGAAACAAAGGTGGATCCTTTGAGCATTAATGGATTCCAAATAGAAATATCATAATTTAATTTTATGCTTCATTTTCACCACACACCTGTATTGTATTGTACTGCTATGCTATTCATGATTTGGAAAATATGATTTTAGTCTTTGAAAAACGTGACAAAGAGGTTAAAGGTTTAGATTTCAGGTTGAATTTTTTATTTTTAACATCAAACAAATCAGCAGCAATAAGTAGTTACCATATTAGTGCATATCCTTTTTACCATCTAAATTGATATAAACAATGCAGATTACTCCAACTATATCACCTCATGAAGTTTTGTATCCATGCAATTCAGATCCCTCAAAGTGTCACTGTCAAACAATAAGGAATCTATTCATGTTCTTGAATTATCTCAAATTCCTTTATATTATCTCTCTCTATTTAGATTTGTTCTGTCCAAAAATAACTAGTAGTCACTATTCAATATTTAGATACTCATATCAAATTCAAAACTGTATTAAAGCTGAAATAAAGTCTCTAAATTTCATTCAAAATCTTTCATATCTTGTGTCCTACATTAATTAATTTGCAAGATTAGCTAAAAAAAATTCACAATTTAATTTCATTTTCATCCCATCAAGCATCAAAAAATTGGATTCTTTCCCATCCAACACAAGATAAGTATCACACCTCACTCCTCACAAAAATCACAAATTTCTCACAAACCATAGCAATCTATCACCATGGTCCCAAAACTCATCATAATAACATGTAAACAACCCCCAACTTCAATCCCTTCATTCAACATCTCATCCATCAAAATCAAAGAAAACCCCCAAACACTAAAAACCACCACCACAACACCCTCCACAAAAACAATACCTCCACCCACCACCACCACAACCACCACCAAAAACACAAACAAAAAACCAGAAACATCATTCCCTGGACTCCTATTCAACACATTCGACGACATCATCAACAACTTCATCGACCCACCAATAAAGCCAGCCCTAGATCCAAGACATGTTCTATCTCAAAACTTCGCTCCAGTCCTAACCGAACTCCCTCCAACACAATGCGAAATCATCAAAGGCACACTCCCACCGTCACTCAACGGCGCTTACATAAGAAACGGCCCAAACCCCCAGTTCCTTCCACGTGGACCCTACCACCTCTTCGACGGTGACGGCATGCTTCACGCCATCAAAATCTCAAACGGAAACGCCACACTCTGTAGCCGTTACGTCAAAACCTACAAATACAAAACCGAAAACGACGCCGGTTACCCTCTCTTCCCCAACGTCTTCTCCGGTTTCAACTCGCTTATCGCCTCCGCCGCACGTGGATCCATAACCGCCGCACGTGTTTTAACCGGTCAGTATAATCCATCCAACGGCATTGGATTAGCGAACACAAGCTTAGCTCTGTTTGGTAACCGTCTTTTCGCTCTCGGAGAATCCGATCTTCCTTATGAAATCAATCTAACCCCAAACGGTGACATCCAAACAATCGGCCGTTACGATTTTAACGGTAAACTCTCCATGAGTATGACGGCGCATCCCAAAATTGACGCCGACACCGGTGAAGCTTTCGCGTTTCGTTACGGTCCTATTCCACCGTTTTTAACTTACTTCCGTTTCGACTCTAACGGAGTTAAACACGACGACGTCCCCGTTTTCTCCTTGACAACACCTTCGTTTCTTCATGATTTCGCTATTACGAAAAAGTACGCTGTGTTCGCTGATATACAGCTTGGGATGAATCCTCTTGATATGATCTCCGGTGGCTCTCCGGTTGGTTCCGATCCTTCGAAGATTTCGAGGATCGGGATTCTTCCTCGTTACTCTAACAACGAGAGGAAGATGAAGTGGTTTAATGTGCCAGGGTTTAATATTGTTCACGCGATTAACGCGTGGGATGAGGAAGATGGAGAAACGGTTACTCTTATTGCGCCGAATATTCTCTCTGTGGAGCATACTATGGAGAGATTGGATCTTGTTCATGCGATGATCGAGAAAGTGAAGATTAACGTTGAGACTGGGATTATTTCACGACAACCGTTATCAGCGAGGAATCTTGATTTCGCGGTGATAAATGGTGATTATATGGGGAAGAGGAATAGGTTTGTTTACGCTGCGATTGGGGATCCGATGCCGAAGATTTCGGGGGTAGTTAAGATTGATGTGTTGAAGGGAGAGGAAGTTGGGTGTAGGATGTTTGGAGAGGGTTGTTACGGTGGTGAACCGTTTTTTGTGGCGAGGGAAGGTGGGGGTGAGGAGGATGATGGTTATTTGGTTAGTTATGTGCATGATGAGAAGAAGGGAGAGTCGAGGTTTTTGGTGATGGATGGTAAGTCGGCGGAGTTGGAGGTTGTGGCGGAGGTGAAGTTGCCGCGACGGGTGCCGTATGGTTTTCATGGGTTGTTTGTGAGGGAGAGTGACATTACAAAGTTGTCGCTGTAGTAGGTTGTCTCCGTTCTACCAAACAATTATTATTGTTGGCGTTTTTTACACTGTAAAGGGAAAAGGATTGAGGAGGAGGCTAGATTAATAGTATTTGTAATATAGCTGTAAAGTCGTTCGAAGTACACATTAGTGGCATGAAAATTTTATAATCATATAATACTTATACATAGTTAAATGTGTTATAAATTTTTTTACTCTTTATAGTTCAGTTTTGATAATTAGCACTTGCACTTATCATTTGGAATCTAAGTGGAGAAGTGGTATGACGTATTCCCTCACACAAAATCTTTTTTATCTTATTTTTTATTTAATTTTCAGAAGTTTTAGAGTGTGTTGATGAAACATGTTTAGAAGGATAAAAAATATGAGAGTCTTTAAAACTTTGTCTTAACAATTTTCAGAACTTGTTCTCTAGAACGTTGTCTTCAGAGTCTTCAGAACCTCAGAACATGAAAGCGTACGTAAGATCATCAGAGCTTGAGAAGTCTTCAGAAGTTTTTCTATCAGAATCACAGTCAGAAGTTTTTAGACTAACGTTCTTCATAATCGTTGTTTAAAAGCATTCAGAGCTTGATAATTTCCTTGTAAAGCGCAATTTATATCTCTCCAGAGTTAGAGTGTGTTGAGTTTAGAGACTGATGACGTCACTCACCATTTCCTCAGAGTCAAAACCTGTTAGAAAAAGTTACACACTAGACAAAATCATTAGGATACAAAATTATTCTCTAAGAAACAATATATTTTTATCATCAAAACTAATGGTCAAATGCAGAATCAAATCTTATTCTTACAATCTCCTATTTTTTATGATGATAAAACCATGTATTTTGATGAACACTTTTTACTAGTTTAATCACATAAAACAATTTAGAGTTAACTATAAGCTCTCCCTAAGTTTTATACTCTCAAAACTCATCTCAACTTGTTCATAGGCTCTCCCTGAGTTCAAGACTTATAAAATAATTTTGAAGTATAAAACACTTTAATTAGCATGAAATGAATACTTTCCTGATTAGAATACTATCAGAGTTTGACTAGTAATGCCTGGTTCATCAGTAGTCTGAATAGAAATGCCTAGTTCATCATCTTAGATCCTGGTTAGCTATCAGAACATGATAAAGTATCAGAACCTGGTTTTGAAAAAGTATCAGAACCTGGTTGAACCTGATTAATGTGTCAGAGTCTAGTTGCATTTCCTTTAAACAAATGTATGGTTAACATGACTTGATTAACAAGACTTTATTAACAAGACTTATGAATATAAAAAAAATGATATTTCTTCAGCGTTTCTGAACTTGCCTGTATAGGAAAATCCAGTGAACTTTTTCAAAGTTCCTGATCATTCAAACAATGTTAGAGGAAAAAATATCAGAACATGTATGAGATAAGTATTGAGAAATAGATATATAAAAATCATCTACTTTCTCCTCCTTTGTCATTAATCAAAAATATTTAAAAATATATGAAATTAAAAATAACTGCATTGATTAATAAAAAGATAAAGACACAAAAACATCAGATGCAAAAACTAAACTCTTAAAAAAAACACAAGGTTAAAAGAAAGTTTAAGGGTTTGGTGGAGGAGGCAATATTGACATAATGACTTGCAAAATTCTAGTGATCATATAATTTGTCTCAACTTGTTCCTTGAATCTCTCATCCTGTTGATCCAGATGCATTCTGACAATCGAGTTTTCTTGCTTAAGCACCTAAAGAGTTTGCAAGATAACCTAAGAAGTAGCAGTAAAATCAAAAGTATAAGACTTCTCAATTCTAGAAGAATTAACAATTGCTTATGCAAAATCAGGCTTCAAAGAAGCATATCCAAAAGTGGAACCATCCTAAAAGATAGGAGTCTTCTCAGTCAAAGTAAGAGCTTGATGTTCAGAAGAAAGTGTATCTTCAGGCTGGTGATTAAAAGCAGAAGAGTCTTCAGGATGATAGTCCATCTCAGAAACAACTTATTCAAGACCGATCATAAGTAGTACAAGCTCAACAGCAGATAGACATAGAGGTATGTACTTATCCAAGATTGGTTGAATGATTTCTGAGAGTCCAACATGAAACCTCTTAGCAACATCCAGAAATGACAGATTTTTACACTCCAAAGTGCGTGAAATCATCCATCTTCTAAAATTTATCCAGACTGCATCACTCTCAGTAGCATTTACACAAAAAGTGAAAATATGCCTCATAGAGTGCAAGTAAGCACCAAATTCTGTACAAAAACGTATTATTATTTAATCCATAGAAGGGGTGAGTATTGGTTCTAAGGAAGGTTTGGTCAGAAGGGGATGGAGTAAAGAGGGGGTTCTCTATCAGGTTTGACTATGATATCCACTTCAGAGTCAAAATAGATTGTTTTAACAATTTCTAAGTCAAAATTAGAGTCTTCTGACGCAGTGACTGGTGCACTTGAGTCACATAGAGGATTAAGATCTAATTCTGCTTGTTGAAATTGGGAGATGAGTATTTGGGGGTGTTTGTATAGGTTCAGAGAAGATGGTTTGAGGTTGTGGTGGATTTTGAGAAGGTTCAGCATAGGTGGTTATAATGGGATATGTTTCTGAAAATATTTGTTCAGAAGGTTGAGGGATAGAAACAGATAATTGTGGTTGAGGGTTAGGTGGAAAAATTTTAGCTAGAGTTGTTCCTGAAGAAGTTTCTTCATAAATGTTTGGATTAGTTGGGATGGTTGAGGATCAAAAGAAATCACTTCTGAAGGATATGGATTTTCCTGAATAGGAGCAGTCGCTGTTCCAAGGTGGAAACAAGAGGTGGTGGTGGAATAGAAGTTTGAGTGGAAGTGGAAATGGATGAATTAAAAAATGTTAATTGAAGTAGAGAAGTCACATAAGTGGACTTAATTGTATTAGTGTTATGTAGAGGATGATTTGTCTCCATAGGTTCAGAAATAATTTTAGAAGCTGCAAGAGCAGAACCTTTAGCTTCAACTTCCTTTACTGGTTTCGGAGTTCTAAAAGATTCAGTTGTCTTGGCAGCCTTAAGATTCCTAGAACATGCAGCAGTAGTTTCTAGAATGGATTATAGAGATATTATATCAGAGCTGGAAGTCTTAGCCTTCTTGGTTTTTATAATCCCAAAAGGTCAATCACCAACACTCTTCTTAGAAGTTTTTCTCTTCCTTTTGGCTGGGGAGGCAGGAGGTGCCTCAAAACTTTTGTCTTGATTGTTAGTACCACTGGTAGCCTGAATTATTTTTGGAAATTTTGCTAAGTTGAAAGTAGGAAAATCTTAAAAAGAAATTCTTCTAGAAGAAACTTCATTTCTATCCAGCTCATCTGGAGCTTCAACAACTTCAGAAATCAGAGACATGTTCTTCAGAGTTCTTTCATTGAGAGGTTTTCCAATCTCAAATTCTAACAAGCTTGTTGTAATACAGTGGGAGAACTAACTTGGGTGTTTTGCATTTTATCTCAATTTTTGCGGATAGCAAGAGTCGCCACCGAATTTTCTTTTATCCAATAAAGGAAAGGGTGAAAAGAACAGGAAAAACCTTTTGAGAATTTTCTTGAGTTCGGGGGGTAGGTTATGAAAAGGGAAGGTGTTAGCACCCTTTTCATCTGTAGTTATCTACAGGCTCTTAGTTGCTAGCTCACTTTGAAATGCTTTGTTTGAAATGTGTTTTGTGATGGTTTGAAAGTATTTTTGAAAAGTGCCTTTGTTTAGGCGAACTTTTTAATGATTCTCGTCTCTATAAGAATGTATACAAAGTGTTGACTTTTGAAAATATTTCATTTGAAAGTGTTAGTGTGTTTGAAAGATGTTTGAAAATGGTTGTTGTGATACGGTGGCAGAATCGACTATTTTGAGATGCTGGTTTGCGTTTTGTGTTTGCAAAATGTCGCGGTAGGCAAGAGTCTCCACCGACTTTTATTTTATCCAATCGGAAAGGAAAAAAGTACAGAAAAAAAATCCTTTTTCGAGATTTTTAGTACGGGGGGTAGATTATAGAAAGGGAAGGTGTTAGCAACCTTTCTATCCATGGTTTTCCATGGGCTCTTAGGTACTTGCTCATATTTTAAAATTGCTTGTGTTTGTGTTTTGTTTTGAAAATGTTTGACTTCGTGATAACCCTTGTATCAGTCCTCAAAGGTGTGACGAAGTTGTTTTTGAAAATTGTTTTGAAATGTGTAAGTGCGAAAAGTTTGATCTGAGCAAGTACCTACTAGCATCTACCTACTCGAAAAAAGATTGTTTCTATTCTTGTTTCCCTTAGACATCGCTATCCTATTGTTGGCTCCTAAATTCGACACCTTTGTTTTGTTGATGACAGCCATTAAAAGCTGAAAAATGCTTTCGACTGGCTAAGTCTGTCGAAGTGCCCGTCGAAAGATGGGAAAGTACTTAGAAGATTTCTTCCAAGGAAGAAGGCTGGTTGCCTTCGACGTCGAAGGAATTTCTCATCGAAGATGTCTCTTGACGAAAGCGTTCGATGGTCCAGAGTGGAGCAGTTTTGAAATTCAAGCTTTTGGAGGGAAAACGGTTTCCAGCAGTTACCACGTGCAAATGTGCAAGGATCTGGAGCGTCGAGCGTGGAGAACGTGCCACGTGGATTGATCTCGAAGCAGTGTAACTGCCCGACGGTTACTTGGGATGTCTTAGTATAAATAGGAGTAGACATGTAGTTTCTCGCGTGTGTTCACAATTCTATACAAAGTCACTCATATAGATTCGAGTACCCAGCGTGTGAGAAAGAATTGTTGAGAAATGTATGTGTGAAACACCAATTTTATCAATTAAAGTCATTTACTTTTCCAGAAATTTACTTGCTTTCTCCTTTACATTCTTGTCGAACCTTTTAATTTAAAGCCTTGTTTATTTTACCAAGTCTTTCCTTTATGCAATTCATTTAAAGCCAATTTATTTAAAGCCTTATCCAACTTAATCAAACTTCAAAATCAACCTATGTCCTAGGATCAATCTGATCGATCCTGCGAGTAACCAAATAAGTAACCATTTGGAGGATCAGCGGT